CCGAAACAAATCCGCCCAAATCTGCGGTCAATAGACTTTATCATTCCTAGAGAATAGACTCAGGCCGAATTCGTGATATGTAGCCTTTAAAATTCAAAGAAAATGACATTTTTCAAAAATCAATAACAAAATTAAAAAATGCCCTACGAAAAAAATTCCCCAAATCGTCGATTAATTGATTTTATCATTGGTAGATAATAGTCTCCAGACCGAATTCGTGATCTGTAGCTTTCAAAATCAATTTATACTTCACTCACTCGTAACCATTATTGATTATGTTCATTTGGACTCGGGGACAAAATCATCATGAATGTGGCCGGGTAACGTTCATTCCTACATTTATATTCTTGGATGTTTTATCCACGTACTTCACATGCACGCAAACCGGTCGAACCCAACTCACTAACGCTACTACCTCTGTTATTAGACGTTTGGATTGCATGCAATCTACCTAGCTTCTGCCCGAACGTTTCAAAATTTAATGGCTGCTTTCGCTTTGGCCAGATATGAACAAACAGAAAAAAGTAAGAATCGCGGCATGCACGCATACTATGAACACCGGAGTTACGGAAACCCTAGTTCCAATCCTGACTCAACACACGCAGAGCAGCTAGCTAGCCATGCATTCTTCTCCTGCTCTCCCAACTGTTTCCCCACTGGTCTCGTCGGCGACGGCCCTTAAAGAGTAACGCCGTCACGTCTATCCCTCCCAGACTAGCTCTATGAAACAGCGTCACGTTTGCATCAAAACCTAATGTTTCGCGTCTAAATCCGTAGGTGATTCTCAGCGGTATGAAATGGTTGAACTACGATTAAACCATGATTTCAACATAATATACTCTATCGTACCTACCTTTCCGGTACAAACTACGATCTACGGGTTTACAATCCTTGGCTTTATACTTGGTACAGAGACAATAGCAACTTGCATGGCATTTACTATTTTAGATCCTTCTATTTATTCCACCAACTGCACTCACATGCGTCAAAACCACGTACTCTACATGCATGCAAACCCGCGAAACCCAAACGTCACAAACTGATGACTGCTTTCTTTCTCTTTGGACATATGTAAACAAACTAAAAAAAAGAGTAAGAATCGTGGCATGATGGGTACTATATATAAATACGTGAGCTGTAAACACACTAGTTCATCACTCCTTCTCTTCATAATATACCAAACAAGTAGTGCTTAACGCTTACCCACGCACTGCAGCCATGGCTTCTTCTGCTCTCCTTGCAGTTTCCCCACGGCTCACGTCGTTCACAGCCAGCAACACCAGTACCAAACCTGCTGCTGCTATGAAACGTCGTCCCGTCTTAATTAAAGCTCCTGCCAGAATAACTGCTTCACGCAAATCCTATGGTAGCAATCTGGGTGGGGACTATGGCAGTATTGGTGTATTCGGCAAAGCTGGTCGTATAGCCTTTGCAGCCGGTGGTGACTCTGGTAGCGTAGGCGTGTTCGGCAAAGCTGGTCCTATTGACTCCTCAACCGATGGGGACTCTGGCAGCTTTCTTGTCTTTGGCAAAACTGGTCATACAGCCTCCTCAACGGGTGGGGACTCTGGAAGCGTAGGTGTGTTCGGCAAAGCTGGTCATATTGCTTCCTCAACCGATGGGGACTCTGGTAGCTTTCTTATCTTTGGCAAAACTGGTCATACAGCCTCCTCAACGGGTGGGGGCTCTGGAAGCGTAGGTGTGTTCGGCAAAGCTGGTCATATTCTCTCCTCAGTCGATGGGGACTCTGGTAGCTTTCTTGTCTTTGGCAAAGCTGGTCATATAGCATCCTCAACGGGTGGGGACTCTGGAAGCGTAGGTGTGTTCGGCAAAGCTGGTCATATTGCCTCCTCAACCGATGGGGACTCAGGTAGCTTTCTTGTCTTTGGCAAAGCTGGTCATATAGCCTCCTCAACGGGTGGGGACTCTGGAAGCGTAGGTGTGTTCGGCAAAGCTGGTCATATTGCTTCCTCAACCGATGGGGACTCTGGTAGCTTTCTTGTCTTTGGCAAAGCTGGTCATATAGCCTCCTCAACTGGTGGGGACTCTGGAAGCGTAGGTGTGTTCGGCAAAGCTGGTCATATTGCTTCCTCAACCGATGGGGACTCTGGTAGCTTTCTTGTCTTTGGCAAAGCTGGTCATATAGCCTCCTCAACGGGTGGGGACTCTGGAAGCGTAGGTGTGTTCGGCAAAGCTGGTCATATAGCCTCCTCAACGGGTGGGGACTCTGGAAGCGTAGGTGTGTTCGGCAAAGCTGGTCATATTCTCTCCTCAGTCGATGGGGACTCTGGTAGCTTTCTTGTCTTTGACAAAGCTGGTCATATAGCATCCTCAACGGGTGGGGACTCTGGAAGCGTAGGTGTGTTCGGCAAAGCTGGTCATATTACCTCCTCAATCGATGGGGACTCTGGTAGCTTTCTTGTCTTTGGCAAAGCTGGTCATATAGCCTCCTCAACGGGTGGAGACTCTGGCTTGGTCATGATCCCGGTATTCGGCAAAGCCGGTCATATACCCTCCTCAGACGGTGGGGACTCTGGTAGCATAAGCTTAGTATATGTCCACCCGGCCGGCCAAGCTTAGCTTGGCGGAAGTCATATATGAAGCTTTGACAAGAGCGCATATATAATAATGCTGTGTATGCGGTTGCGTGTGTCCAGTTGCGTTTCTGTTTGCACGTAGTATATGTCCACCCTGTCGGTCGAAGCTTGTCCTTTATTTTCCAGTAGCGTACTGTGGTCGCTTTTGTATATGTTGCATGTGTAAAATATGCATCTGTCTTCCAAGGTCGAGAATGTTATCGTTGTAACTTGTAAGGTGTACATGTGTCAGTGTGGTTTGTATCGTGTATCCAATAAATAAAACTAAGCTAAACTTAGTCAATAACGTTGTTGAGTGTGGTGATCTTCCTCTATTTGTTTGACGTACGTACATCTGCTGATTTTCAATTTGGAAGTCTCATGTTCGATATTAAGTAGACTTTTCCTCCCCGACCATGAAGGCTGAAGCTCTTTCAGTAGCATATCAAACTGTTCTTTGGATGCCATACGGCTTCCAAGTTGCATTGCATGTTTTTAAGTTTCAATTAATCAATTGGGTATGAGTGAAATTTATATAGGTTGGGATTTTGAAGTTTTAACTCAAAATTTGTTTTTTTTTTTCTTTATTAGAAACAACGAGCTCACTGTGATTAACAAAAATGTGACAATTCTGGATAAATTTGGAGAAATCCAATACCATATATATAGTGATAGATTTTGATAGATGGTTGTTAGTGTATTTCTACCAAAACTCTACAGTATAATGTATTCATATAATATCTTTGTTTCATCAAACTCTACAAACCATATACTTTTCGTAAAAAATGTCTTGATCAACATTTTATTTTTTCTGCTAAAAAAATGTATCAAATTAGATGTCGTTTCATAGAGTATAAGTTATAAGTAATATTATTTTAGTGTGCAAAAAAAATTTGAGATTCAAATTAAAACGAATGAGACAAAATGATTGCATTTTAATGGAGAGAAAAAAAATACCCAACACCAATTTATATTTCACTCACACATGCATGCAGCATCACCACGTACTTCACATGCATGCAAACCACACTGTCTGGATTGCATGCCGCGATTCTTACTTTTCCCCCCTGTTTGTTCTTTCTTCATATATGTCCAAAGAAGTGCTCAACGTAAGCAACACACGCAGCGGCTAACTACCATGGCTTCTGCTGCTGCTCTCCCAGCTGTCATCATAACCACTCTCTAACCCACACGTGTTCTCAAACGAAAGTCAATCCATGAATTTGAAGTTTGCACAGTCTCATCATATATATACCTTGTGCTTTAATCAATTGTCAATATTGGGTTTGTGGAAATTCGAACACACGCGACCACTTGGGCAAACGAGTTCAATTGACAATGTTGCCTGATCCTATGTCATCAACTGAACTTGACAGCGTTGTTTGAAGATCAACGTACCGATCCCAAAAAAAGAAAAAAAATCCCATCATCAATCGACAAAGTAACGCACCTGAATGTAAACCATACAAAGAGACTAACAATTAGTAACTTCTTAACAACTTTCGACCCACGATACAATATTGCAACGTATATACGTAATAAGATTAAAAGGAGACCATTAATTAAAAATAAGACAACATAATATACTTGGTACAAACACAATACAACAGAAGTACAGAAGTACACGTCACGGTCACATGCATACAATTAGCAAATTAATTAAAGACTTCGTTACTGATGAAGAACGTACGCATAACACTAGGATACAATGAATTTTTATCACCGTATATGTTGTCACCAAACTAATCCTTTTACAAACACATCATATTATCTCTTTAAAAGAACAAGTTACAACTTTACTGTTTGGTAGAGTCACATCCAACTACTGTTACTTAGTTTGCTTTTTGGTTCTCCTAATCAATTCTTGGTTGCCTTCTGTGACTTGGTTTGCTTTTTTGGTCTCTTCCATTGGGTCCTCTTTCCCATAATACTTGGCCTGCTCCCGTCACTTCCCATCTGACAAACAAAGACTTTCCTTCCTCAACTCTCTCTTCCTATCCTTTTCCTACTTCTCACATACCATTTCTCAGCCACTCACTCTCCTCACTCTGTTGGAAGAAGAAGAATAAGAGAAAAAGCTACTTTGGTGTTCCATTCATTTAATATTTTCCCTCCATTCTCTTCCTCTTTCCAATCCCGCACCAACCTGTAATCTCTTTGCCTTGATCATAATATCGATCATACATGGATATAGAGTAAGCTTCTAATCCCTTCTTACTTTAGATTCTTAGTTTTCAGGGTTTTTGTTCATCCCTGTTTGTTGATTCTGTTTTTTGATGGGTTTGTTCATCACTTTTGCTCATTCTTTACAGTTTGGATTTTGTGGGGAAAGATATGATGGAAGATTACTCTCCCTCTCTCCTTCTCTCTCAGTGATTGAAAACTGATTAAGTGATAGAAGAAGAAGAAAGAACGTGAAAGAAGAGAGGAGGGGCAGCCAAAGAAGAAGTGAGAGCCAACGACGGGTGAGAGCCGTTTTCGTTTGCCTTTTTGGATTTTTTTGCCGTGAGTTCTTATTGCTGCTTATCTTTTGTTTCTGGGTTTTTCAATTAGAAAAAGAAAGTGATTGCTTATCTTTTGTTTGACGATGGTGCGATGCGAAGGTCGGCAAACGGCGCCGGTGATGGTCTAACGGCGGGTGAGAGCCATTTTCATTTGCCTTTTTGGATTTTGAACAATAGGCAGGATAATGGAGGAGCAGTTACTGTTCTTGATTTCCGGAAGTAGCAGAGGAGACGAGTGCTGGCCACTGCTCTCTAGCACTATCAAGGCAAGCTTTTCCTTTTCTTTTTGGGGTTTGGTTATGTTTTTAATAGTGTGTTCAGTCTTCTTCTTTTATTTTGTGGATTTTCAGCTCTACGTATTTTGGTCCTTGCATACTTTATAGATTTGGTTCATTATTTGGTGGCAGAGGGAAGAATATGAGAGGACTGGTTTAGCATAAAAGAAGCTAGGTAATTTAACTTTTGCAGGTCTTCTGTTAATTTGCCTGTGTGATGGGTCCATGTTTGGTCGAATCATGGTTATGGGTGTTATGCCTGAACAAAAAATCATATTTGGGATGTTAGTTTGATCCGTGTGCCGGTCATTCTTACTCTGATATGAATAATGCAAAGATGAAGACAAGGTCTTAGCTGTAAGCAGCTGCATAGTTTATGATTTCCCCCCATTAAATCTCATGTTCGCAGCTTAGGAAGACGAACAAGGCGAACACGAAGACAGAAGAAGAAGGGGGAAGAAAGGTGACAGAGACGAAGTTGTTCCTGTTATCGAAGCTCCAGGATAAACAGTACTGCTGTTTTTCTCTCCTCACGCCACTGTTTTTCTCACCTCACGCCATCACGCGACGCAAGGGGAAGTTCTCGACGCCGGGATCGTCGTGCCAAGATCATACCGTGGTTTACTTTATTCTGACCCGTTATTGGTTTGAATGGTTAGTTTCTCTTCTATTTGTTTATGTTCTTCGATTAATTTTAGGATTTGCGTCTTGCTCTTTTTAATTTTGTGATTTTGACTCTTTTTCATGTTTGTTTTTCTCTGTTATTTTTGTCCTCAGAGCAGAGTTTGACTCTTGCATTCGATCTCGATAATGGTGCTGGAATCTATGTTAATTCGCAATTTGATTTTCGTGGCCAAGCTCCGTGATGGTGTTGTTTGATGCACCTGTGATGCCGAAAGTGTCTCGCCTCCTGGTGGTTTGGCATCGGGTGTTTTGCGTGCTTTCAGCATACTTCGCTCAAGCTTGGACTGATTTTTCATGTAAGCCTTTCAAGTCGCTTGCTGGGTTTTCCAGCTCTCGCTTGCCTTTGCCATTATGTTGTGGTAAGGAGGATTCCTAATTTGATCTGCTTAGTCTTTTTCCTGAGTTTTGGAATTCATTGATGGTTATGTATGCTTTGCCTATTAGCTTGAGTTGCGGTCGCCTTATTGTATGTATTAGTGCTAAGAAGTACGAGAGATTGCATACAGAATGGAAAATGACCTATTCATCAGTTATGTGTTTTCTGAAAGGTACATAAACAACACGTAGAAGAGCTTCTACGGAACATGATTGTTGTGCTTCTAATCTGTGTTGAATGATGATGGGTGTTGATTCAATTGGTCATTGAAATTGGTGAAGGGAGTATTAGAGGTCCATTAATATACTAACTCTAAATGAGAAGACACTAATTTCTCTCTTACAGTTATTTTATTCAGTGAATGCTTGCTTCATTAACGGATGCTAAATATATTATTCAGTATTAGACTTATTAAAGCTTCTAAGCTGCAGGCATGACAAGGAAGAAGAAAGAAGTTGTTAAATGGTTCAGAAGGTGTCGGATAGGATCTGTAGCAAATGCATTATGGTTCCTGCTGGCCATTTTCGCTTTGGTTTGTTTATGCTGTTATCTTTCTCAAGGTATGCTGGTTTTTAATGCTCATTTTTACGTCATGCTCATATTTTACTGCTTTCAAACCCCGTAGTAACATTTTTTCATGGTTCTTGGGGGCTCATATTTACTACTTCATTACAAGGGAAATGATAGCTGCAATGTTCTCATTTAGCACCCATTGAGCACTTGCAAGCGTTTCAGCTCTTGGTTCGTAGTGGTTAATTGTTTCGATGTTGTTTGTTCTTTTGTTTATTGGTTATGATATTCATGATCACATTACAGATTACAGCTGTCAATTTATAAATACATGGAGGTGCTTAAGAGTTAGATGAACTGGTTAGTTGCAAATGGTTAGGATATATACGTTTTAAGAGCCTTCCACTTGCAGATTCTGTCTGTCTTTATGTGAAACGATGTTTGAATTCATCTCTGTTTGTCAAATGTTGTATGTTGGTTGGAGGCTAGAATGAAGGGTGCAGAAGGCAAAACTTAAATGTGTTGTCTAAATTGCTCTTTCAGCTGAAATATGTGTACATATACAAGAAATAAAGAGTAACCAGATCTTGCCAGTCCTAATTGAATTGATTGATATGCAAAAACCAAGGTTGTGCGCTGTTGTTCTCTCCGAATTCTCTGGATAATATGTCTGGTAGAGCTGCTGGTGGGTGTTTTTTAGAGCCACCAAAGCTATGAATTTCGTGCTTTGCCTGTTTGATGTGATATAAGTTTTGTGTTCCATTTGAATCTGTATCTGACCTCTTACTGAAATGCAGCCATGGGAGAGCTCAGAGAAGCGTTGCTGACTTGGTGGATCTATGAAATGCAATGATGAAATGCAATGGTGAGAATCCCTTACTCTGGTAGGTTTTTTTCAATCATTACAGGTCATCTTCTCCAGTCGAATGATTCAGTTGTTGTTTCTCAAAAGCTGTTTTTGTGGACAATGCTGTGCCCCTCATCTCCCACTTAATACAAATTTTTTTGGTTGAATTAACTCAATGTTTGGGGATCGTAAGGGTTCTGATGTGTTTCTTTTATTTTAGTGGTGAAAGAAAGGGGAAAAGGACCCGGCGCCAGCAGTCCAAGTTTCACTGTCGGCAACGACGAGGAAAAGACACCGGTAAGAAGAAGAATTCGTCTCAGAAAAGTGAAGGGAGAATAAGGTACCGGTCGTACATGAAAGTCCACAAGACCTTTTTTTGGGTTGATTTGATTCTATGTTTGTGGAGTTAAGGAGTTCATAATGTTTAATTTTTATTTTGGTCGAGGTGGAAGAAAAGGGAGAAAGGAGCCGCCGCCGGCAGCCTAAGCTTCTCTGATGACGACGATGTCCAGAGAGAGCACTTTGTTATGGTATGTTTTTTCATTCCTCAAGTTTTTTTATTGTAATATGGTTTTGATTGATTTGGATTCTGAATACCTTGTGTTTCTTGCAGATTTAATTTTTGAGGTCTCCCTTCTCCAATAGAATGCACCAGAACATTCCCCATTCTCCCTCCCATCATTCTTTCCCTTTATAGAGTTAAATTTTTTGTCTCAAAAGCAAAGGCAATCGGGATAGAGGAATAGGGGGAGAGTGGGCTGGTTCTGGGTTCATTTCTGGAGTGGGTCGGCTGGCGCTTCTCATTTCAATTCTGGTTAGGGAACGATCGAGGGAAGTATGCAGAGGAATGACAGAGGAAAGGTGGGTGGAAGATTATAGGATCGTTTCTGAGCAATTGGAACGACGAAGAGTATAGCTTCTCACTTTGTTTCAGATCAGGGGAAGGACGGAGGGAAGTGTGCAGTGTAACGACGGAGGAAAGGTGGGTGGAGATATTATGGGGTCGTTTCTGGCGAGGGTAATCACGGAAGGGAGGTCTTGAATAACTAAAGCCCTTCAACTAAGTGGATGCCTCCTGTTGTAATGCCTTACAGGTTATTTCTATTTATGGTTCCTGCTGATTGTTTGTTCAGTGCCCCCATCTATCTTACATCCATGTACTAATGGATTTATAATGTTCCCTTGCATGCTTTTATTTCTTTAACATGTACTGGTAAGCTTGCAAATCTAAACAGAAGCAGTTGTGCCTCGTGGGAAAATGTTTTCAAATGACAATTGGACAAAACAATGTGCTGAGCATTTTTTTTGCATAACCTCTATTTGGTAGGATACCTTTCTGTTGCTGATAGATTGGTGTGGAAAATAACTTTTGCTTAGATGACCATCTCGAATACAATTGATAGAAATAAACAGGAATAATTAAATTATGTTTAGGTACCTTATTCCATTTGATTATCAAATTTTGGTATTGAAATTCGGGACTGAAGTAGTTGTTCACAGAAGATGATACTTAAAACGACCTTCGGTATTGATTGGTAAAATTGATCTCAACTTCTGTTAACTATGTGAAATGTACTTGAATTTTCTGGTTTTTAGCTGGCAATATTTTGTCTAATAACATCTGTTTACTAATTCAATTGGCTAGCTTAATGTTTAGGAGGCATGTTAATTGAGTGTTCTGAACAAATTGCTTCAATCATTATGATCTGACTTGGAGAAAGCTCTCAGAGACAATGCTTCTATGTTTGAAAAGATTTGTAGGTTGCTCATGATCTATCAAGAATGCAAACTTCTCCGCAGTGCAACAAGTTTATAAACTCGAATCCTCTTTTTTCCTCAAATAAACTTATGTTGTGCTGTTTATAGATAACTTATGTTGTGCTGTGTTTTTGTGTGCTTTTTTTGCAGTCTTTGGTGGCTGGCTTCTACAGAGTTAAATCTGTGTTGAACAATCATATCTGTTGATTCATTTGGGAAGGTTATCTTTTGGTTTTCCTTTTACATTTTCGTTTGCTACGCTTTGTCAGTTTCCAAGACAAAATACATACCAGTTAGAGTTCCATGCATGCCTTCTGTTTCAAGTAAACTGTGGAATTCCATTTAGTTTATGCTTCCTTCTTTTTCTTCCTGGTTATTTTCCTACATGCAATGTATTCCTTCCTTCAGGCTATTGCCATTGCTTATGCAAGTATGCTTGCATTTTAAGAGTCAGGCGCAGTAGATCTCCACATTTAGCAACACATATCAACATAAGAGTTATCTGTTGGTGCATCATCATTCTTAGTATTGAGAATATGCTTCTCTGTAATGTAAATTTGTGCAAACGATAATGGTTGGATCTACCATGATTTCCAGTGGCTGCCGTAATGCATTCAGTATGAGCAGTGTACTCATCCTTTTTTGTAACTGCTTAGTGTGAGGCTTAGCCAGGGTTTTTTAAATGTAGTGGTGCTTTCTGGGGGTTGTGATTGAGGGTAGGTTGTGTTTAGCGGGTATGTACATGTTATAGTCCAGATTTGTGTTTATTTGCAGAATTTGATGATTCCATTACTGATATCACAGTTCTGATTTTAT